GATTTTTTTTTTAATGGTTAGTTTTTATTATGTGTTTTTTATTGTACACTGCCCAGAGTCATGTTCTGTAAGATGGGTGGCTGTATAAATATGAGATATATATGTATGTATGTATGTATGTATGTATGTATGTATGTATGTATGTATTGATAATCTCTAACACAATCCATATTAGGTCACCTTTGACTCGGATGGAGTAGGACTTATAATATTGAGATAACCATGAACCTGTCCTAAAATATTTTCTTCTAAACGTAATGTAGAATTGGTGCTTAAAAGTTGGGCAGATAAATAGGGAACCAATGGTAGCATTTTAAGTTTGCCAGTGCCATAGGGCCAAGCTGTAGATGGTCATCTACATGCTTAAACAATAACAGCAATGATAAAGTGGAAACAGGTATCCAAACCTGTCTTTAGGAAGCTAATTAAGGTAGACAGTTGTGCATTTCAGAGCAGAGAGTGCAATCATTTGCTATCCCACGCCTGCTGGCAATGATGAAGGAGGAAAATGAAGGTCAGGTATTGTCTTGATCACAAGATGACTGTGATAATCCGTTTCCAGCAGGGCTGGCCATGCTGTTAGGCAGAATGAGGCTGATCACTCAAGCAGCAAAATTGAGGAATCATGAAAGGTTGGAAATGGTTATTTATTAAATGAATGAATTACTATGTTTTTAGTGTCATGGATGGTAGAGGTCCTTGTAGCAATTACAATTTGGCTGGCTTTTGGAACAAACTATCCTGGATCATCCAGTTGCAGTTCTTGGAATTATTAGACAAAGAATGTCTATTAAACATGGGAATAAGCCTTGCAAGATCACAGATTTAAGCTATAACCACAATACTTTGTCCAGCTTCAGTCACCTGTTTTTTTCCTGTGAAGATTTAAGGGAATTTGTGGGGTAGAGAGTTCAGTGTAATTCACCCACTTCCCCAGTTCCATCTTCAGCTGCACACGGACTGACAAAATTAGCTACTGATTGCTAAACATGTTACAAAGTAGACATTTTAGTAAATAAGGGGGAAATGACTTGTTTATGATTAGGGGTATAAAAAACTGATTATAAATAATTTTAAGGCTGAAATCCTGTACATATTTACAAGGTTGATTATGTGGGTTTAGGAGTTGCAATATGTATATCGAATCATGTTATTTTAATTAGAGGAATTAGAGAAAGAGTAGATTGGGATTTATTGGGATTGATGCTGTGGATTGGGAATATTGTCTGTATTTGCATTAAACTTCTCCCTCTGGGTTCTGGATTCCATTATTCCTACACACTCTAACAATGGAGCCTTTTAAAATTAACATTATTGTGTATGAGGAGGTGGACAAAGATTCTGAGCCCAAAGAGGCCAAGAGAGAAAGTTCAGCCGAACACAATCTGCAATACTGTCCTGATTTCAGTCTGGACCTGTTTCTTTCTTCTAATTAAAATGGACAAGGCACTATTACCAAGCTACTATGGAAACTGAAAATAAGCCAATCTCTTTTTTTTTTTAAGTCATACATTTCTTTACTAGAAATATTTTGAAATGTTATTTTTTTTAAAAAAACAGAATGCATTAAATGCTGGGGGGGAAACAGTGAAGCATCCTGTATGCAAATCCACATTTGTTCTCATTTAATGTATTTATTTGTACTTACCATTTTTTAACAATCCAGCAATGCCCCTTGGGACTAGTGTAGAGATGAATTGCAGGATCTACTTGAGGAAATAGATGTAAATCCTAAAGCCATGTTCTGTAAAAAGACATTGAAGTAATATTATCCTCTGAATAGAACAAACTTGCTAAATGATATAATAATGTATTCCCTGCTTCCCCAAAGACAAGAATAAATAGCATATTATTGACTTTAGTAATTTCTTTTCTAACAGACTGTGACAAAGAAGATGAGAATTCTATGGACAACAGCAGGCATTGTCAGGCCACCGAGAAACATTATGTGGAAAAGAGAAGCAGGTCGTCATCTTTTGTGTCATCCACAGACGATGAGCAGAAACCCTTGTTTTCTGAGATGATAAGCTATCCACCTGGCCTAGGCAAGACTGCAGTGTTGGATTTTGAGGAAATAGTAAAGGCAACAGAAAGAATCCAAAGTGATCAACGAAGTCACTCTTGTAAAGGTAAACCCAGCAAAGTCTTTTGCCAAAGGTGTTCAGTTTTAAGAATTCATGGGAAATGGTTAGAGCAACCTGATTTGTAACCTTGTAATCAAACATCTCCTTGAAAATAGCTGTTGAGGTTAAATTTGTAACATTTTAGTAGTTAACTTCTTCAAGCCTGAGGCTGTTTCAACGGCTATTTTCTTCAAAAGAAAATGGCAGAATAGTCATCCTTAAGCTTACCATATCTGGGCTGCAAACTCCAGGGAGCCATTTGATGGCAGCAAAGAGCCAGTTTTCTTTATCTCTTTAATGCCCTCTAGTCATCATGCAGATCTTGGCAGCCTAGAGATATGCCAAAGGGGCAGAAATTGACCAAACACTATAGAGCAGGCAACAGAGGAGAGGAAAACCATCCTATCTTAATATAGCTGCCATATGAAAAAAAAAAAAACTTATTTGAACCAAGGCATAACCAGACTATTACCAGCTTTTCTGCCAGGGGATTATAGCTGAACCACATGAGATGAGAGATCATTGGGAACCATCTGCCCCACCTAGCCATAAAGTGCAATACTGAAATTGGAACATCCCATACAATACAGTCTCCAACGTTTCTGGTACTTCGTTGGTGAGCTTTGTTCAAAAAAACAAAAGATTAGACTAATGAATGATCTGATCGCAGAAGTCTCATGTCTTGTCTAATTTGGTGCTAAGTCTTCAGTTTCTGAAATTAGCCTGTTCCTGTGAAGTCTGAAATCCTGATTGCTCTCACCCAAATTAATGACAGCTGTATTGCTCCACCTGTTGGAAAAAAATCATGCTACAATTTCATACAATCTCATAAATTAGCTATTATGGATAGCTGAGTTTTGTTTGATTGCTCTAAAAGCATTGGGCTGCTGTTGTTTTAAGAAAGGATAAAGTTGAGTCATTAATAGCCATGATTTTTTTTTCACTCTGGGTTAATCGGGAGATGCTATGATATTGCAATTTATGTTTAAGGCACCATTCCAGATTACAGTATGAGCAAACGTTCTCTGCATAAGATCAGCATTTAATAGATTTTACCTAATTAATCAGAAGTATAAATCATCTCCTAACCATGTCACTGTGCCATCTTAATTGCCAGGGCTTTAAGATTGTTGATTAGGAATAATTGAAATGTATGAAGATATGCAAAACATCAAGAGTTCTAATACTGCAGTGTTACCAGCAATTTCTGCACATCACAATTGATATGTGTTTTGTTGATTTCTCTCCTTGCATGAATATGTCTGCATAAAGAACTTCAGTTTTAATCCCACATCACTTCACTCCATCAAATATCACAACGCACACAGAGACACATATCCAGACACACACGCACGTGTATGTGTATGCCAATAATGCCATTTATCCATGAATTCTTGGCTACTCAGACCTTTGTAAATGCTATTCATATATTTGCAATTTGGAAGCTCACCTTTTCCCTTTTGGCTGCTAGAAATATGTCTTGCAGCTATGGCAACACTTTCCAAGGCAACCTAGCAAAACAATATTCTCTGGGCTATATTTAGCCATTTTAAGGAGTGTTTATTTTCACTGTGATCGCACACAAACCCAAATAAATTTTCCTTCTTCTTTGCTTGGGGCATTTAAGAACTAATCTTTGCTCATTCTCTCTGTGTCTGCCTGTTTTTAATGATGTTCCAGCTAATCAGTAGTGTTCTTATTAATTAAATTAATTAATAAAATGTGGATGTTTTCTACAACATCTCTAAATGTATGGCTGTACAATGTAACTAAAGATATACGTGTACTGGTAAATATGATAATAATGGGTTTATCAATTTTTATTCCAATAGGTAAATAGTGATTGTGAAAATAGAGCCTATTGATGTGATGAGTTACAGTGAGTTACAGGGTCACTGTAACTCATTGTTAATATCCAGTGTAAGGAGTGATATTTGTATTACAGTCTGTATTTTCTGCTCTCAATGTAAAACTGTCTGCATTAATGTGAACTTGCCTGAACTCTCAGAACAGTTTCAGAGGCCTATGCAAAAGACCGCCAGAAAATGAATCAGACTGGTGAGCACATACCATAGGACCTTTTCAGTACTTTTATGGAATAAAAGCAAAAGCAAACATCGGAAATTACAGTCGGTGGAAAGGGCTGCAACTAAAGAGTATAGTTGAGTTTTGTTTGGGTAGTTTCAAAATTTCCTTCCTTGTATAGCTGCTTTTCTCCCTGCAAAGGGATTGATTCAGAGCAGGTAGAGGAAAAGCTATTATTCTCCATCTGTCTTTTGAGGCTGAAAATTGCATTGTCAGGCAACTGCTGTTTATCAAACACAAACCCAAGGAAAACGTAACAGTGAGTATCTGGCTATTTTTTCCCAGGTTTCCCCCAGTTAAGACACACAATGCTCCTGTTTCTTGCTAGGTCCATAAGTGCTTCTCCTGTAGTAATGTCAGCCCTACAAAGTAGACCAGACTAAGAAACCAATGCTATATAGGTCAGGACTGCTTTTATTATAACAGTTATAGTAACAGAAACTTGCAAGTCTGAATATGCTTCCCCCTCCCTCACTTTATCTTCGTATGAACTAGGGAGGGGCTTGTCTGAGATGTTTTCTCAAATTAGTTTCTTGGAACAGGCAGCTCTTCTTCCTGTCCTTCAAGGCCATTCCCTATGTCTTCTACTGGTAAATGTATTCAGAAGTTCTAGTAGCAGCAACATTGAGGACCTCAGGCTTGCTCAAGATTATATGGCTTTGTCCTAAACCTCTGAGGGTCTTCAGGCACTCTCGGCTCAGGTGCTTGAATCTTCAGCTGCTTTTTGCAGGGGCCTGCATACATCAACACTGTAGGAGAATGATCTGATCCAGCCTTCCACCTCCATTAGCCACTAATATGTGGATATTTAATCCCAAGCCAGTTAACTCTGGCTGTAGTTCTCTGTCATCCTTAATGAGCTCCAGCATCTATCTATCTCCATTAATAAACTTGTTACTCACTGAGATGTCTCGTGCCCAGAGATCATGAAAAAGCTTGTTCTCCTGTAACTGTAGTTCTTTGAGTGGTAGTCTGTGCATTCACACAATCCATCCACCTTCCCCACTTTAGGTGCCTACCATGGAAAGGAATCTGAGACTGCTGTGACAATCTCAAGCAACCAAAGGGAACAAGGCAGGAAACAAACCCAGGAGTATAAGGACTAGGGAATGCACTTCCCTCTTCAAAATTTGCTTCAGCTCTAGAAAGTTCTAACAGGGGCTTCTGCACAGGCAAATTAGCCTTATGTGTGAGTGTGCAGATGATCAATCAAATGACCACAGTAACAGATAAGCAACCTCTTCTTATTGCATGGATTAGAAATATAAGAAATAAACATAAATAATATCTGCATTAGGCTGATCCTTACTCTCAAACATTTTTTTGTCTGGCAGACATCAGGGACAGAAGAATCTGGGAGGAAGATCACAGCAGGAGCCACCAAGAATCATCATGTCCATCTGCATTACCTCATGTCACTTGGGGAATCTCTGAAACAGAAAGTGAAATCAACTATGGTGAAGTGGAGCAGAGGCTAGATCTGCTTCAAGGACAACTCAGCAGGTAACTAAAGAACATGAGGAAAAAAGCAAAGCTGGATTTTCAACAGTTTGATATTGACAGTAGTGTTGACACTGCTCTTTTTTCAGTAGCCCATGGAAACTGGATCCATGCCACTGAATAATATAACACTATTATTTAGTGTCAGAATGGGACTGAGGTTGAAGGTAGGAAGCATCCTCTGGTGTCTACCAGTAGTTCATGTAGTATTCATGCACACATTAGATTTGAACTGGGGACTTCTTACTTTATACTTTTATCCCATACCATGGAACCACCAGCACATAGCTTAATCTGGCCTGCCAAGTGTAGAGTTTTCCCAGCTAGTCAATCTACTATTCTCTGATCTACACACACACATACACACACATTTACTTTTCTTTGCTCTTTGAGCATCTATCATGCTTCATAATCAACCTTACCAAACCATAGTTTTTGAAAATGATGTGGTTGGTTGGTATTACCTTCCTGAACTTTTTTATGGAGTACATTTTAGGTCTCCATGGAATTCTTTTATTTGGAACAATAAAATTTCAAAAGCAAGCTGTCGGAAATATCTTTGGTGCACCTTGTAGCTCTTGATTTGTTTCCAGATCTATCAGTAAGGAGTCAAAACTTGTGTCCTAGTTAAATTTTCCTCTGTTGAAATCCCACTTTACCCAGATTCTTTGGGAATAAAAAATATCGTATCAACAGTGGTCTCACACATTAACTTCATCAAAACTAGGACACTGGAAAGCTGCTAGTTCAAGGAGTTTCTGAAAGACCTTGCACTAGAAAACAAAGTTTAGTTTATTTTTCTGAAGTGTTCTGGGCTGAGCCAAGGAAATATACCAAAGCAGTTCCATTTACTGAGGAATTAAATAAACATTTTTATGGAAACTAAGGACAGCTCCGTGACACAGTTGAGCCACCCCTTCTGTGATCTAACATTGTAGCGGAGATCCCTAATTGGAGTGTGATTTCAAATGTGAATACTTTCACTTTTTTCAAGCGTTCATAAATAAAGTTAAGGTTGTGGCAAATGCAGCTAGCAAAAGACAACATAGCAGATTTTCCAAGTTAACAGCAACACACTCAAAAGTTTGCAGAAACTTGTTAGGGAAATCCAGGGAGTAAGTCAAAATGTTACAATAAATGAAATTAAATCATTTTGCCACACAGATTGACAGGGTTATTGAGGATGAAAACCAATTGACTAGAATAAATTCAATGTGAATTTTTGGCACTATAAAATGACAGTGAACCCAAGTTAGAGTATAGCAACATGATTATGAGTGTACAACAATTACATCTGTTTAGTGGATTAAAAAAAAAACTTCAAAGGAAAGAAACCACAGGCATATCAGGAGAGGACAGGGTGGGAAGGAATGGCTAGCAAACATTCCTGTCAGCATAAATAAGAGTGAAATTTGTTCACCCTGCCACTTTGCTGTTATACCTACTCATCACTGGAATATCCCCTTCAACATCTTACCAAGGGGAATTCAACTCTTGAGCTGAAAAATATTGTCCACCTTTCCCATGCAGTATATTAAGTACAATCAGATCAATCATATTATTAATATTATTTCAGTTGTAATTTTATTGTTAAAAGCTGCCCTGAGTGCCATGAGGCAGTAGAGCAGAATAGAAATCATGTATTTATTTAATCAATTTATATGGCACCCAATGTACAGATTGCGACTTTGAGTGGTATCATCGTATTAAAAGCCAGATAAAAACAACACAAAAGAAAATATGAGGTAACAAAGACCAGCCCACAATCAGTTCAGTTTCAAATCACTACAGATGGGCTCATCCAGCACCCAGCCAATACCCAAGGAAAAAGCAAGATCTTCAAGGCCTTATTAATGGCCAACAGCATCAGGACCATCCAGAAGACTATTCCAGAGACAGGTGCTACAACCGAAAAAACATGTCTCCTGGGTCCCGCCACATGACTCTGTTTTATAGAGGGGACACAGGGCATGCCCACCCTGCTGGATCTCATGGGATGGGTAGAATCAATTGGTGGCAGATGGTCCTACAAAACCCAACCCTGTAGCATACTGCAAAGGGCTTTATAGATGATAACCAGCACCTTAAATTGCACCCAGAAGCCTAAATAAGCATTGTGGAAAGCCTAGCAACATCTTTGCAAGGTTATTCTTTCTGTGGATGTTTGTCCCATCACTTTGTTGGTTCTCTGTTGTAGCCAAACTAATGAGAGACTTGTCACTGAAGGGTCCATGAAGTTTCCTTGCAGGAATGTTCATTCTCTGATAGGAGAAATATGTTGCTGCCAAAGAAAGAAAAACACTCTAAGTGGCTCAACATCTATTCCTGCCATTCCAGAAACATTTATGAAGCTTTGCAGGGTTTCAGAGGTTGCTTTGCTTCCACAAAGATCCATTTGAAACAGCTCTTTAAAGTGAAGCACTGAATTGGAACAAGACTCTGGATCAATGAATTAAGACTGGCATGATTGCACTGCTTTGATCTAGACAATAAAAAAATTGCACAGGCAAAAGACCCTTTTCTCTCGATCAGTGATTCTCAACCTTTTTGAAGCTGCCGCTCCCCTAAGGAGCGGAAAATTTTTCAGCGCCACCCTTGGTGAAAATCCTGTAATTTAGGGTATGGGGAGGGGGGCGGAGTTACTGAATTATAAAAAGCAAAAATTTTAAGTAATTTTTTTCAGTAGACTTACACACCAAATTTGTTCAATTTAACTCGATACTTTTGCCCTGGAAGGTAATTGCATTCCTTTTAT